TGCCCCATTATGCTATGTCGCTAAAGTTTCAAAAAATGTTGTAAGTAACTATTGATTGTATTTTTGCAAGTTTCAGTTGAAAATTGAAATGAGTAGACAGGAAGACGTCTATTTTATGGGATAATATCATGCAAAATGGATAAAGGTGAGAGAAGTATGCGGCCGTGAAACACACAAATATATCAAAGATAAAAGTTTTGAGAGTAACGTGGTCGGGCTACGATTGCAATAACGGCAACATGAAACAACAACAGCACTTAGAACATGAGCAACAACACTAACGACAGCAACGACAACAACAGCATTAATAACGACACTAACAGCAATGAAAACAACAGAAATAACAACACCAACACCGACAGCAATGACAACGAAAACAACAACAAAAACAGCAGCAGCAACAGCAGCAATTGCAACAACAACGCGAGTATACAACACAACGCTATCAGCAACAGAAACAACAATAACAACAAAAACGACAGCATCAACAATAACAGGATCGACAAACGCAACAGCACTAACAACAAGAGCAACAAAACACGACAACATTGAAACACGAATGATAACGATTGTTGTTGTTAATGCATTTAGTTACGACTTCCTGTCCAATATGTGACCGATAATGAATAATTACAAGCTTATTCTTGTTATTTATCCTGTCCTTTAATAAAACCTCTTGTAAGGGCCTTTGAACATTAGCCTAGTCAAGATAACCTCTTCTGAGCGACCACAAGATAACAGAGAAGCACTAATGATCGAATACCATCGAACAATTTGATTCGCTCACTATTTTTAAGAAGGAAGTAGAAAAAATATGATCGAAAAACTATGTTTAAAAAAATCACTATGGCCTGAAATTCGGACATCACAGGAGTAAAAATCTACAAGTAGTCGGGGATCTTTCCTATGTATTTATTTTTTCTAACTTTATACTTGTAAGCGAACGTAACGAAAAACTTACTCGGACAGGCGTCGTAGACGGCCACAAAGCAGTTTGAGTTTCTTTGGATATAAATAAATAATACGAAATTAAGCATCTAGACTGTGCGTCCATCTACGCGATAACACCTCATTATTATTATTACAACTTAATATTCCAAGATAAACTGTCGAAATTTGAGCCCATTTTCAAGCAAAGAAACACAAATTAAAACACTTTCTGGTTTGTTTGCGTAGATAAAATGTCCTTGATTAATAGTCAACATCGATTAAATAAAAATTTGTGGTGAATTCAGCTTTAAGTATTGTATTATTTTGCACCTGTTTTAGGTTTTGCACTCGTGTGCTAGAAATAAAAGCCTTTTCCCATTCACTTTTTTCCCTTGTTTTTAGCTTTTATTTCGTCTACGAGTCCCTTTTGATTTAAATTTACAGCATTAATTGTAATGTAAAACTAAAAGATATCTGAAAAAAAGGGGGAAAAAAACAACAACAACAAACAAACAAACGCAACAACCTCAACGAAAACAATAATAATAAAATAAATAAACAGCAGCCAGTTTATTGATAAGTTGATAAATTTTAACTAAGATTTTAAAGTCTATATTAGAAGAACTGAAGAAAAGAAAATGTCGTATTTCAACCGAAAGATATTAATAGACATTAAATAATGAATTAATGATGATGATGACAATAATTTGAAGTTGAGTTTTTGAGTTTTTTTAAGCATTGATGTTTTCCAGCCAGGTTTGTGATGGAGTTTATTATGGTGCTGTAGACATTTTCTTAACTGAGATTTCAAACACCATGTACATATACATATCCCCGAGCCTATGTCAACATTTCTACCAGGTGCTGTCAAAACTCGAGGAATTGGGTTACCAAATTTAAGTTACTACAAGTCCTTAGCGCGTAAAACGGAAGAGAGTGTCTTGGTTGATTGCTTGCCAACTACTTTACATATTAAGCTACATTATTTGCAATCAGTCTGTCAGGTAAGAGCAAATAATAGCCTCAAAGATTGTTTGATAATATAGCTTTTGAGGGACAGCGCCGCTTGAACGGATATTATATTACAGAAAGCTATGAATTTTGGTGAATCAAGACTGGATAAGAAGTTAAAAGGGTAGTGTTTTAAACGTTCTAAAGTTGTTTGGAAGTCCAAATCGAGCAGATTCTCAATATTGCGCCAAAAGAAAATGAAGATGTCAAAATGAAAACGTGGGATGGATTTTTTTCATGTGTTAAATTCATATATGTGTAAAAAAGAATCAACAAACGATTTTTTATTTGTTCTAGGAATCTCGGCTATGCTTTTTTGAATGAAAGAAACTGAAAAAGAGAAGCGAAGGGAGGAAAAGAAGAAAAAAAATTATGAAGGATTAAGAAAATTAGAAGGATAAAGAAAAACAAGGGGGAAAGGAAAAAAGAAACACAGGGAGAAGAAAGAAAGAAAGTAAAAGACAAAGAAAGACAGAAAAACAGAGAAAGAAAATGGAAATGAAAAAAAAACAAAAAACAGAGAACAAAGAAAAAAAAGAAAATGGAAATAGGAAGGAAAAAATTAAAAGAAAAGAAAATGGAAAGAAAAGAAAAGAAAATGAAAAGAAAATGAAAAGAAAAGAGAATGGAAAGGAAAAAAAAGAAAATGGAAAGAAAAGAAAAGAACATGGAAAGAAAAGAAAAAGAGAGAGAAAGAAAGAAGGAAACCAAGGAAGAATTTATATTATACCCTAGTTTTTCACTGGTACATGATAATTCATCACTGCCTCTCTGATCATCATCACTAAAGCAATCCATCACCGCCCTCTTGTCACAACAAACAGAAAGCAGAAATGTTAAACACAGAAATAAACTGTTATTGAAGCTCTAGGGACCGCGTGGGCTAACCCCACCCCTCACTTTTTAGGGCGGTCCGTGTTCCTTGGTTTCCAAATGCATTGAAAGGATATTCTATACACATTCATTTAATCTATTTTCTCAAGGAGCCCATCATTCTTGGTCCTAGAAACTATGTATTTTGATCTCTCTGTGTGCCTTCTGTCATGTAGGAGCCTTACAACCTCCTTTAGCACTATTATAGCTTAAAATATTGTCAGCGATGGACTAAAGTAAACGAAGAAATCTGGCAGTCGTCAAAAGCCAGCCTCATTAATTTGGGATTACAAAGACCATAGGCTTTTAACCTACGCTTGTTTTCGATCTAGGACTCTATGAAATTAAATTCCGTGACAACTCTATGTAAAGATTTTTTTTCAATAAGCAGTACAAGGGTCTGCCTCTTTCTCATTCCCTTTACGCAAGCTTCAGCAACTCAAAACCAATTCGGGGACCTGCTGAGTCTGTTTAACGTAGCGAGTTATTTTTATCACTTCCTAATTTTCACACCATCAAAGAGAAAAAATTAGTTTAAATTCCTTAAAACCATAAAGCAAGCGCCAAACCCGCTTAGTTATTAAGCGAGAATTATGATTTACATTTGGACCTATTTCAAGCGCACAGGTGGAACTGCCATCTCAGTGAGTGTTTCCTAGTTGTTAGACCATTAATGTATAGGTTTTCAGAGCATTTGCAGCATAATCTGGCTGGGTTTTTGAAATGTTTTTTCCGACCGAGTCACGAAGAAATGAAGATAAATTCTCGGTGGTGTAATCTGATTTGGAAGAACCATTAGCTTTGACATAATTGATTGTAAAAAAGATTTTGTCCCTTTTTGACAAATAATTACCGATTTTCTAGACGATAGAATATTTGCTTTAAAAATAGGTGTGTAGTCTTGTTTCGTACTTACTACCGCAGTGGGTAAAAAAAGAAAAGAAAGCCGTTTCGGTATCGAGCGTACTGATCGTGCAATATACAATGGATGTACTGGAACCATTGTTGATATAGGTTAATGGTTGAAGCATGATCATGAATATGATAAGCGTTACTAGGCTAGTGTATTGAAAGAAAGAAAAAAGAAAATGAGATAAAGAAGAAGCAAGAAAAAAAGGGGAAAACGAGAGAAAGAGAAGGAACAAAAAAAAAAAGAAAAAAAAAGGGGAAAACGAGAGAAAGAGAAGGAACAAAAAAAAAAAGAAAAAAAAGAAAAAAAAA